GCATAATATCTTTAATTTGACTTTGATTCTTTATATTATCAAAGACCAAGATGGTTTTATTTTCCATCAAGAATGATTTTAATATTTTATGAGCTTCTTTTGCATCCTTTGGTTTTACCTTGACTTCAAATTGTTCTAAACTATTGCAAGAAATCACCACTACTTTCAATACACTCAACAAAGCATAAAACATTGATATGTCTTTTATACTAATAGCAAGTTAGTATGTATTTGTTGATATTATATATTTTAATGACAATTGTTTTTTAATGCACCAAAATATGGTGCATTTTCCACTTCAATTTCAATTAAAAACTTTCTCTTTAATAAGTTCAATCTTTCACAAATATTTGCAAACTTTGATCAATGCAAAGGATTCAATTTCCAACATTCTTAGATAAGTTCAATCAAGTCATAACAATTTAAGGGTAAATTTGGTCTTTCATCTTTTTCAATTCTTTCTAATATCTCCTTCATCTTAAAAACACTATAAAAAAAATCTTTTTTGAAATAATCTTCGAGCATATTATTGCAAATGAATAAATATTTGCTTCGAAAGGATACATTGTTATTATTTGAAATTTAGTTTTTAATACCTTAGGAATCATATATGCAATAGTAGTATAAAAAATATTATTCTTTGTAATCTTTGGATTGCTTCTAACTTTAATTTTAGATATTTCAAAATCTATCACTTTTACAATAGCATATCAAATAATCTTATTCATGATTTTTTTCTCTACTATATCAATCAAAATATTATCAAGTTTTAGATCACGATGTACCATGTGCATATCATGCAAGTAATACATTCCTTTTTTAATTTGATTTATAATATCAATAAGAAAAATGTAAGATAATTGCTCTTTTTTTTTACAATATGTAATTTAAATTTATTTGCAATAATTCTATTTCCATACATAAAATCTTTTTTAATTATTATTTCAAAAGATTCACCACTTTTATTATTATTACTTTTTATTAAAAAATAATATGTTATTAAGTTGAGATGGCATAAATTTGCTAAAATGGTCACCTCTCTTTTAAAAAACTTGTTATGTCCAACATCTATTTTTTTAATTGTACACAAAACTCCCAACAACTTTGATTTGTAAATTGTACCATAACTTCTATCACTAATACATTTTATGATTTCAAGACTTTTCATGTCTCATGATAGTTTTGAATCATCCCATTCTTCATCTTTTATACAAAGTGGATCTTGTAATCTATATAATAAATGCTTTGCTAATCCATAATATTCAAAATTTACTTTTCTATTTGAATGAATCAACCTCTCATATAGAAAATTAATATCACTTTCTATTTCACCACATATTACAATATTAAAAGTAGAAAATGTGATGTCTTCAAAATTCTTGGAATAATTCTTTAAAATCACATCACTTATTTTATTACAATAATATTTTAAATCCAAACAATAAATGGTATACATATCTATTCACTTACTGAAGCGAATGTATTTAAGATCAATTAGTTCTTATAAAGTAATACTACTAATCTTACACAAAATAAAGTAAGATAAATATAATAGATAATAACATATTATTTAAGCACTTTTGAAAAATAATTTGTTAGTAGCTACATACAAATTAAACAAAAAATTCTAATAGATCAAGCCATTGCAATAATATCATCATATATAAGGAAAAAATATAATAAAAATTCTATAATAGTATAAAGGACTAGTAATTATTGGAGATGATTAATTTAAAGTAATTCTTTTAATTGATATATTCCTAAAAACGTAATTCCTATACATATCTTAAGTGTCTTTAGACATATAATTAAGGTGCTTAAGAAGAAATCATACTCAAAGAAGAAAACTTATAATTCACTCTAGTAATGTCCATTATGTTATTACATCATCTAAGTATGTAATGCATTAATGTACCTATTCTAAATCAAATAATACATTTTATATTAGTAACTTTTTGTCATTTTATCCAAATTTTAAATAATACTTAAAGAAAATGTACTAGAGATTAAGGTGATTAAAAAGCCATTCAAAAACTATTTTTTAATCCAATGAATTATGAATATATCAAGGCTTGAAATTTCATGATAGAAATGGTTAAACAATTAAGTAAGTTAATTTTTTCATATTATCATAAATAAATTATATAATTATTTAAGTCAATATGAAAAAGGTACACAAGTTGAATTAGATATTATGCACAATAAATAGTTTTTATTGAATTGAGTTGCTACCTTATAAAATATTAAGATTTAACATCACTTGCTTAGAACCTCAATGATTCAAAAAATCTAAAATTACATCAAATCAAAAAATAAATTTTCCACAAAAAGAATCCATGTTTGTATTTCCAAATAGCATGATGTAAGGATAACTTGAAAGGAAATTATGAAATATGATTCACCGCACTAGTAGAGCACTTTGCAAAACCAAAGATCAAAAGAACAAGAAAAGAAAAGTGAGAAGACCATACTTAAGAGGCAAAGAAACAAATGGCAAGGAAAGGAATAGGTTCCAATACAAATGGCATGGTGGAAATGGCAGTGATGCATTAGATTGCAAGCATAAGGAAGGAAGGAGTGGCAAGAGTCACAAGAAGAATAAGGAAGAGAAAAATATGTGGTGTCAAGTTGTGACATGATTACATGATGAAAATATGATTAAAAATAAATTTTTAATTAAAAATCTATTATATTAATTCAATAAAAATTTAAAAGATTTTAATAAGGCTTTTATAAAAGTCTCTTAGCCTATTTTCTTGTTTTAATAGCAAGTAGATAAAAGTTAGTTAGTATTTTTACCTTGTAGAATATAAAAACTTTTTTATTGCCTTAGAAAGGCCATAAATTGTTAAAATCAGGGTAGAAGAAGTAAATGGTTGGTATAGTTGATACTAGAATCAAGTTAAAGGTAGAATTGGGCTAAAAAATCCTTAGGATAGATTAGATTGATATCCGAGGGTTGTTTGTTTGTGAGGGAGGATCAAAATCAAATCTTTGGTCACTAAAACAATCGCTTAGGACAAATTAGGATTTCATTCGAAGATCAAAGATTAGAGTTTGAGAGCTAGCTTAAAGCTCTTTTTAGAGGCATAAGGATTATTTTTTTAGGATTTTTGACAATTTAGAAATTATTGTTCAAATGTCAAGGTTTGTATTAGTGATTGGATTTTATATAATATAATTAGAGCTAGCAATTTTGGCTAGTTCAAGCAATTGGTATAGCATGTATGGTTCAAAATTTGATACTGTTTGGATTATTGAGTGTGCTAAGTTTATATGAAACTTTGTAATAATCTAATAGTGTGGTTTAAAGATATCTAGTTTTTAGTACAAGAGGGTTTTAGAAATTGGGAATTTGGGATTGAGTAGGATTTCTATGATATCTAGAGATCTACTAATTGGATCAAGGTTAAATGTGGCATGGTATTGAAAGACTTAAAGAACAAGATGCACACCAATTTTGAGTTAAAGTTAACTGTTGGAGAAGGAGAAATCACTACTGAGATATTTGCTTCACTTTTCAAGTTGGCGGCCAAGTGATATCAATGCAATTTTTGGAGGTTTTCTCACAATCTATAAGTTGGATTGAGCTAAAAATTCTTGAGCATATAGAAGACTTAAATTGACAATTGCATGAAAAATTTTAAATCAAGTAGATAGTAAGATTAGAAGTTACAGCTTGTTAAAGCTCATTGATTAGGATTAAGACTTATAAGAAAAATCTAAATTGCTTAAATATGAAAGTACATAGTAATTAGGATTTATGTATGATTAAGGCTACTAAGAAGAGTATTTTTTAGCACTTTTGAATTGAAATTCGGATTATATTCTTTTCAAATGGGTGAAACCTATTAGGATTTCTTGGATACTTGTGAAACACAACCTCACCTTTCACAACTAGGTATCTGATGCATTCCTAAACAAGACAACATTTAATATAACAATGGAGGAAAGAGGAGTAGGAGGACAAAGAAGAGAGCATGGATGAGAAGGTAGGATAGTGTAGAAGAATGCAATGCAGAGCAAGGTAGAGTTATGAGAAGAGGGAGGACTAGGATTGGGGTTAAGGAGGAGGGAAGGGAGGATTAGGATTAAAGAAAAGAGGAGGGAGGATTAGAGTTAGGAAAGATGGGCATCTTAGAAGCTATCAATGCCACAAGACCGAATGAGGCGCAAGAAGATTGATGATTATATTGTTGCATTTCCATCCAATGTAATAAAGTTTTCATCTTGACTTTCCTCACTTGTTGCGCAATAAATCCTTGCCTTCCAGTGCTTCTACCTACATTCATTGCTTTAATCATGTGCTAATGATTCTATTGCTATTAGAATTGCCAAATCTCTTTGGATCATGATTTGTATATGTTCTTCGTTGCATACATCTACTAAACTGAATTACATTTCAACCCATCATGTATGTCATTCTTTAATCACAATGATATTCTTCTTCCTAATGTTTTTATTGCATTGTACGCCCAACTTAAAACATTCTAAGCTTTCTATAGATTTTGAGGATTTAGAAATTTCTACATTGTTTATGAAGTTGTTATATAAAACAACATACATGCATCCTACATAACGCTCCACTACATAGTATTCTTTCATTGTCCAAAAGAACCAAATGCCAAATGCCACATTATTTATTTGACTTGGTTTAAAAATTTTGAATCAAAATCTTAAAAATTTATGGATTTTGGAAAGACTGATTGTTTTCATCAAAAAATGCTATGAGTTCAATCCTTTCTAGCTACTTTCAAGTTAGTATTATGAAAACAGTGATAATTCAAAAATATGAATCTACACAATTATCAGTGTTAAATGTGTATCTTGGTCAAAAACATCAAATGTAATTAGAAAGTACATTTTCATGTTATTTCGTTATTTGTACGTATGTATTTTAAGTATGTCCGAATGTATGTCCATTATTCGTTTCTAGAAAATTAATAAAATTAAAAAAAAAAAAAAAAAAAAAAACACCCACAATTTATTGTCTTTTATAATTAAAAAAAGAAAATTCTCAATTCATTTCTCAGCAAAATTGAAGGAAAGGTCCACCAGGACGTGATTAAAATGGTCGCATCGAGATGCATCCAAACTCACAGTTAGCGGGTACAATGCTGATAATATACTGGTAACAAACGTCTGTGTCACATCTAGTTCTATTAAAGCAAATAGCAATGAAATTCTGGAAGCTCCGAACTCATCTTCTTCGGCCAATCACGCCCTCAGACAGACAGACAGCCTGGTGGTGGAACTGTGAAGGCCATTCGTGAAAAGGGGGTGGCAACGCCGAGGACAACATGCGGCACTGCTTCACTGGCAAATACTCGTGAATGCTTTAGAACCCAGCTGACATACTTCGCCATTTCAGTTAAGAAAAATAACACACACTCAATGAACACAGGCAGCTGCAACAACAGGACCCAAGTCTGCAACGGGACCCAAGTCCTCTAGCCTTTGCCTTTACGAGCCCGAGATTTTGGCATCGACAACTTTGAGTCAACACTGATGCTGTCACCGGACTGGTAGACGTCAAGACGGTTGAGCTCTATGCAAAGAGAGCCTTGCCTGCACTAGGAGCACAAAAAGTTGTCAGTGTCCAGACCCCATGCAACAGCTTTTGCACAACTGCAGCATAACTTGCTCTTAACATCTCTGCACACTGTTTTCAGTGCATGTAGTGGAGTTGCTCTGTGTACCTGACCGTGATTTTCCTTGTTCGCTTTGCCGGTGGCGGTTCGTCGCTTCCTGAACCTGATGCAGAAACAGGTGGTTGTCCAGTTTCGACGGAAAGCTCAGAAGCGGTGGAATCCCGGGAGGCCAGGCGGTTCAGTTGGCGGTCGGCTTGATCTGGACGTTCTGCCACTGACCAAGGCTCCGATTGACTGCTCGATGATCCTGTTGGGATTTCAGTTGCACGGGACGTTGCGCAAGGGATGAGTTCGGTTCCTCGTGATGTCTGTTGTCATGGGAATGAAACGTGCGTCAGGAGGTAATGAATAGAATCGCAGAAATCATCATGACATTTCAGTGCATCAGGCATAAACTTCCAATCTCTTCTAATGTTTTCCAAATTGCTAGCTTTTGCAATCTAGATATCAATATACAAGTTCCCAATGCTAGAAAGCGAAGTCAAGCTGGTAATAAGCGCCTTTGCAGAGGTAGTCGAAAAAACAGAGCGACTCAGCGATCCTGTGCTGGCAAGACCACGAAGAGCAGCTAGCCGCAGATTTGTTTGCATCTGTTGCTGCTCCACTTCACATTGAAGCAGCTGCTCAAGCTTAAGCTTGCCGCCATCCGTATGATTTGCTGACATCTCCAGCTCCCTCTGCAGGAGTAACACAACTTTATCATTCAAGCCGCGAAGTGTGTGCGCTATAAGAGATGTCTGTTTAGTAGATGAGCGAGAATAATTACCTCAAGTAAACCAAGAGCAACAGCAGGCTCAGCAATCTTCCAAACTGGATGGTTAGGAAGTGTCGAAGGTCCCTTTCCTACCGCTGGGATTGGCCCGACATTCAGCATTTTGCTCATACCTTTGAACTGCAGCATGCCATTGATTAAAAACAATGTTAAACTAATCCAGCTCTGAAGTGATGTAAACAAAGCTTGATCGGATATTCCACAACTTTTCGCAAAAAAAGGTATTTCCCTTGGAAAACCGCAGTATCGAGGCTTGTAGGGGATCGATAAACTTCTATGAAACAGACACTCGAGAATGAAAATGAAATGATATTACGAACCTCCTCATAGAACACGCCCTCATGAAACATAGAACCCAAAAGTAAGACCACTCACGTAAGTGTGGTTGAGCGCCTCATCCGCCGAGCAGCGCCGATGTGGGGCAAATGCTAACATTCGTTGTAGAAGGTCCAACGCATTGTCATCAACCATTCCTGATAATCGTTTCACAATGTTTCCTGCCTAATAGCAAAGGCACTCTTCCAAATTAATTTTATTTTTACGGCGTTCTATACTGTTGATCGTGATTCCATAAACTAGATCACCCAATGACAAGACAATAAGTTCGGGTTACGAAAGTGTTGATGCAAATCATCAGCGACGTCATCTCCTAGATTAAATCAGTCAATCGCTCTCTCGGTTTCAACAAACGACTGGACAAAGGACATAACTATCTTATATGTGAGCAGAGAAACTCGAGGGAAAGACAAGTGTTTTCAGGATGCGTCAAGAGTTAAGGAAAATCCAACCTGAACAAATATAAAAGAGAGCTGGGAATCTGAGGTCTCACCCTTCCTGGTACCTTCTTCAGGTATGCTCGCCAATGTTCGCCAGGGACACTTTCAATGTCTTTCCAGCAAGGTGTGCCGATTACGTTGAAAATCACATCCAACTGTAACAGAAGGTGTTAGAGACAATTTTGTCTTGCGCTCCTCTACGACCTAGTAGGATCTAAGAACACGTTAAGAGGTACCCACTTAGTGCAGAGCAAGTCAAATTAAAAATAACTTGTTGGCAGATGACTTCGATGAAAATACCTGATCGTGTAGCTCGGAGGAAATGTCGTTGTTGTACGATTCACCCCTTAAAGGCGTGCTTGGCTCTCCGCTGAAGGCGCATTTCACAATGGCGGGGTTAGGTTAAATGACACAATAGGCAGGGCGTTGCAAACCTGGACACTGCGATTGGTGCTTGGGCAAAGTCACGATCATAAAAGCTCTGAATTCTCATCTAGATAAAGAATTTGTGGATTTGTTGCATCGGAAACTGGACCGGAAGCATACCGCACACCGAAAAGAGGCTTGCTTAAACGACCAGAGTGTTGAGGATGACCCTGCCGCATGAGAAGCTCCTGAACCCCATGAGTGTCAAATAGCATGAGATCAAACCAAAATATTACAGATGGACATGCTTTAGAAACCAGTTGTTCAGACAAAGCTAGATCTTAACGCTGAGTTTGATATATTTATCTCCTAGTGCTACCAGGGAGCGTTACACAATAAAATGAAGATTCATGAACATCTATTCAACTACTCTTAATCAGAGAGCTCAGTTGATGTCAATATCTTACCCAAAAGATGCAACCAACTGACCAGCTGAAACAGTTCAATTTTGGAGCGTTAGATACATTTTGGAAAATAGAATAAGAGTTCATGAATGTAAAAAGAAATAATAAATAACAAAAAAAACATGAGTTCGCGTACCTACAGAAGGATTCATAAAGAAAACTAACGTTCATCCGACAAAATCCTTCAAGTTTAGAATAATATTCAGATTCAACAAAATTGGTGTGAATAGAGAGATAAGATTCTAAAATATAAGATGACTTGAGATGATAGAGACACATATCGTAATACCAGGATCGAACTTACACATCAATAGCAGATGTGTACTGGCCTTGCGACATTACCACCTCAGGTGCACGGTGGCTTGGGGTCACTACCTGCACATAGAGAGGAAGGACTTTATAAGTTAATGTCAGCGCGAAATGAGAAATGTGACATGGGCTTCTGTTACCACACCAATGTAGGCATCTCAATAGGATCTAAATGTGCAACTTGGTGGCATAGCCAAGAGTCACCACAGGGCTGGCCTGCAGTAACTCGATTCCCAGGGATACATGCCCGGGGTATTGTTTATTAGGTTACCGTATTGTACAAACTGGAGAAAGCCAGTAACGTTGGTTTCGAAACCATATTTTTGAAACAATGAAGGCCTTTCACAGTTGAGATATAGATCTAGTTCGTCCCAGATGTTGAAAAGAGAGTAGGACGATTTTGTGATGAAAATTCTGAGCAATGACCAACTTTTCGTATCATTGTCACTAATGTGAACATGAAAATTTCAGCTTTGCATCAGCATGGCAAGGTTACCATACAACAAATAAAGCAAGCGACACTGCAGTTCCTTCGTCAAAGACGTTCACTCACAGTCTTGGTGTATTGTCTGGTCAGAACCGGCTTTTTCCTTCGCCCAGTTGGTTTCGCATCCGTGAAGCTTGACGTCTTAAGTGACATAAAAATTAAAATAAAATAAAAAATTATACCGTCAATCACTGTAATAGTCAACTACGACCAATAGTACAGGATATGGATAAACCAAACCTGGACATTCCTTCATGAAGCAGCAACTTTCATGGGGGGTAATTCGGAGAGAGTATTAACCCTAGAATGAGAAAAGCTTGCACGGTCCACGCACCTCAAGGGCGGATCGCGAAAGTCCGAAATCACACAACTTAGATTGAAAGTTTTCTGTCAGCAGCACATTTTCAGACTTGATGTCCCTGTCACAATGACGCCGACACAAGTCTCATGGATGGTACTGTACCCGACTGAACACCAAGATATTCCAAATAGTGATTGCAGTTGACATATAAAATCCAAAATTCAACAAAAAAATAAAAAAATAAAAAATAAAAATAAAAACTATATTCCACAAGTTGAGTTTGAGCTCTGAGAAAGATAGTTTAATCACTTGCCTGTGCCACACATGACAGGAATGCATGTAGTTAACTGATACGAGCAGCTGCCACATGAGTGTTCTAACAGTTTCCGCCGTAATAGGTTCACTTTGACGATACAAATCCCCACTGAATGTTCATAACCCACGCCATTGCATACATTGAGTAATGACATTATATCGAAATTCTATCGTACCTATCTAAAAGTCACCAAAAGTCGCCGTAAGCACCCAGTTCCGCTCTGCACTATATATGTTGCAGAAGCACGTTCAAGATATGGCAACTAAGGTGGAGAATACATGTGGATATCAAGATCATACCGTTCGGCAAATTCAGTGGCGATATACAAGTCCGTTGAGTCTGGTTTCTCCAGATTCTTCGATGTGAAGACGTCCGTCACTGCAACATAAATTTCAATTAGAGTCGATGCGTGAACAAAGACACAGTAATACAGAAACTTGAAAATTGTGTTACTCGAATACAACAGATAAAATGCCCCTCAAAACAAGTCATCTCAATTAAATTTTAAGAATTGAGATGTCCGACACTTTTAGCAGTCTATGCACTCATCCAAGCACGAGGGCGTACATGATATGATATAGGGATGAATGAGCCGCCGCATGATGCACACTTCTCGTAGCACACGTTTAGCCAGTATTTGGCAAAAGAATACATCGGGTACCCTCTGTTGTACATAACAGTAAGGTGAGCACAAACATGAACATAGTATTACTTGGAGAATGCCTCGCCAAAACCGAATGCGAGGTGATTTCAGCTTGACTCAACTTTACAAGTTCGGTGACCTCCCAGGTAGGAAGTTCATCATCCTCCTTGTGCTCATTGCACTCACACTCTCAGCTCACCGAAACAACACACGAAAGACGCTACACACATATCCCTTAATCTATGACAAACAACCACAGCAGCCTCTGATTCCAAAAGCATAAAAGGGAATGGCATCAATTCGCAAGTACATGGAACAGAAACAGATAAAGAAATGGGTGAACAAGGAGTTTAATCCTCACCTTGAGGGCAACAGTTCGACCGAATTGTAGATCTGTCGCGCGACAAACATCGCCATATGATCCTGAGCCAACATGGACTTCCACCTTGTATCGGGGACCCACTGGACACGCAATTTCATGGAATTGGTTCAGGATGAACATTCTTTACAATGCTCATCACAAGCGACTTTTCGAAAACTCAGTCAGAATTTGCAGAATTCTAATATGGATTTCCTGCTCTACAAATGTACTTGCGGTTCAAAGCAACCTATGGCCAATACTTGAGTGTAAAACTAAAACTGGACGCGTATCAATAGACGTACACTCCACAGCTTTGATGTGGAAAGTTATATTTCATGTGAATGGGTCCACACACAACATCATCGGGCACCTACAAAGCCTTCAGACGGTTCATCATTAATAAAAACCATTACTAACTCTTTTTTAAGAAAAACCCAAATTCATATCAGCATGAACAAGACGCAGAGACCCATCTCGCCATCCTGTTAACTGCCTTTAATATTTTTGTTGTATGATCCTAAAATCTGAAGAACGCATCCAGGCATGACCTCGCGAGCTGAAGACAGAATCGCGATGCTCGTCGAGTGCCAGCCGAAGCTAAGAAACGCCACTCCCCATCCATAGTAGTAAACACATAAAGTTCCAAAGGTTTAAGAATATAAAATTAAAAAGACGAGATAGAAATTGAATGGGAGAATTAGCATCATTATTATACTTGCAAATATTATTCTACAACAGAATCCGATCAGGCTGAGATAGAGGAAGACGGCGAAGCTTACCAGACCAGAGCTGTCCGCACACTGCGTAGATGCCCTTGGCGGGGTTGACATCCTCCACATCGCTCCAATCCATCGCACTTTGGAGCTCCGACACAAGAAGCAACCACAACAAGCCACTCACTCCCCCCCGTCCCGTGCACTAGTAGGTCGGCTGCTTAGAACCATGGGTCGAGGTGATGCCAACGCTCTCCGCGTTCTAAATTGCGTCGCATTTGGCGTCCAGTTGTCTCTGCAAAGGCACTCGTCGCAACAGTGGCCGGAACAACATACCCCGACCGCTAGTCGAACAACATCCTTGTCTCTCAAAGCCACTACCATCCCACAGGCATCCTTTGGTCCTTTCGAAACCCGCAAACGACCATCGAATGTTGCATCCTCTGACAAAGCTTTTTGTTTCCCCACTCAGTCAAACGCTTCCCATTGACTCCCTCTCCCCCCCACCACCGGCCTACCTCGCTGCCTAAAACGCCTCCCATGTGAAAATTCTGCACTCAGCCACCGCAGATTCCCGATGCTTACGGTCTTGCAGTCGGTAACCGAGAATAACTGTACGGCGATGACCTTTGTGAACAGGGATAGCTCTGACTGACTGGCGGATGGCGTGCGCTGTGATCTCACTCATTCTCGCACTATACCGAAGCTACTGCAGACTAATCATCTGTCTGTATTCTCGCACCTTTCCCATTTCTGTGAAGATTGATTAGTCTCGTCTTCATGCTCAGGTTAGCGGTAGTTGGTGAGTATCTCGATCGCGCGTTACAGAGCTACCGCGTGTTCACAATTCAGTCCTGGATCTGTCTTGTTCATCCAGTAGGTTAGGTCCTAGACTTATTTGTCTGCACCAACAGTTGCCTGCCACGTAAGGGAGGTTGTCAGCGAGACGTCGGAAAAGTCGACAGCATCAAATCATGGATTTTTGATGGAATCACTCGTTTTGTTTAGATAGTCAACGAATATGTAAACCGCTCTGGCCCATGAGTCTGTTTCATTTCCGAGAGGAAGATTGTCTTGCATCGAACTTTGACACGGTAACCGAGTCCGTAGTAACATTTGCGTCTTCCTGCAGAGACAGTGGCTGTGTTTTGCGAGGTTTTGGCGTGTGCCAGAATTTTTTTGTATGACGCTATCTGGGTGAGGATGTTGAAGGCTGCAGCATCGGTATTGTTGAGGGAATGAGGTTTGCAATAGAGATATTTGTACGATGGGTAAAGATGTATCGTAATCTAGTGGGATTGTAGCGGTGGTGTTGTGGTTTCTAGATATGTGGTTTTGTGCGCTTAGGGATTCGGATTGGGAGTTTTCATTTTCCTGGAGCAATGCGGCGTTGAGTTTCCCGTAGTGGACTTGAATGCTTCGGAGGAGTCTTTTGAACTTTTGATTGCTGATAGACATTTTTGGTAAGAAGATGTTATTGGCGCCTCGGCATTACGAGAACGAAGATTGACAGGGAGATCTGATGACATATACATAAGAGGATATGATTCATACTCCGCGATGGAGAGAGAGCATGGGGGCTGGCAGAGCTTTCGGGTTGTGCGATTGGCTAGAATAAAGGTTTACAAACCCCTCATGCTTACTCTGCGAAGGTATTGTTCCCTATCTTTGAATTCTAGTCTCTAGTTCTCTCTTTTTCGCAGTTTTTGCATTCCATTGATGAGTTTTTGCCTTGGGCACTCAACTCATCCGCAGAGAACGATTTCTGGCATTAACAGAGGGGCTGAACGGACGCAACAGGCCTTCTCGGTAGCTCTCGGCTTGACTCTTGGTGTTTTCCCAATTTGCGGCGTCACAGTAGTATTCTGCTGCGTAGCAGTGGCGCTGCTGGGCACGAAGTGTTAAGGGCCAGCGATAATGCTGGCGAATGTCCTCGCCATTCCCTTACAAATGAGCTTAATTGTACCTTTTCTCCGAGTGGGTGGAAGTGTACTGGGAGCCAGTCTTTTTGCACTGACAAAAGACACTCTCTGGCAGGCCCTCACAGGAAAATCTTCAGGCGAGTTAGTCTTTGCCATTGGGCATGCAATACTGGGCTGGCTAATGTCCAGCCCTTTTCTCTTCATGATGTTGTATGCTTTGCTCCTGCCACTCACTTTGGGGGCGCAGAAACGATTTGGAGGTCGAGATCAGCTGCCAAGTCAAGCTCGTGTTGCTCTAGATTAACTCCACAGACAAGAGAGGAAACCTTTGGAACATTTCCTTTATATGTTGCCGTCGTCTGCAATGCTTTGAATGATAGCCGGTGTAATCGATGCTTCGAAATCCATTCTGTCTGCAGCTAAAACTACACGGCATTTTCTCAGCCAGGGGCCGTATACTCTTTTAAGTCTACATCTCCTTCACAGCCTAGCAGACAGGACCGGCCATCAAGTGGAGAGAAATCAAACTTGCAAGTTTCAATTCAGCAACCCTCCTTACAACAGTAAAAAGATAGCCGTGACTTTCACATTTCCTCATTGTTGAGGCAGAAGGGCGACTTGCTGTAGAAGCCAGGATGTTTTAAGCACTTCCCCATTTCTCAAGAGTTTGGCAATATCTGGGATCTCACCCACCAATGACGAGTTGCTAGAAGTGCACTCTTCAAACAATATCTTCCTCTGGAACTGTCCTTCTCGAGTAATCCAAGCTTCTATTCACCAACTGTGAATAATCATTCACAGTTCCTCTGACAAATCCTCACTCTCATTCCAACTCTACAAAACACTTCATCTGCTGCAATGGTTCACGGTTTCTACACATGATTGTATGTCTTGTGCTTTTGGTTTATCTGGACCCACCTGCCTCATGTCCATCTCTTATCTGTAAGCTTAAGTTGAGTTGCAATCGTGACCTTGTAATCCCCATTTTTTACTTCTCCGATTCATCATTTGGAAACTGTAAATGATGAGTGTGTTTGCTAGCATGTGTAACCAGTGAATGTGAGCCGTCTTTTCTTCACCTTCTCAAACAGTTTCTGATTTGGATCATCTTCTATCCCACTCTTTCATCAACCAACAATTCAATGAGTTAACACTCAAGTGGATTATCTCTTTTTTTTGATAAGACATAAGTTTATCAAAAGTTGCGGATTATCTTCTTGTAAATTAATATTGTTCTTAGTATCTTCTTTGTTCTCAAGTCCCCTCTTTTACTTGTTTTGAGTAATATTAGACATTTATTTTCTAAGTATTATCATGGCATAGCTTCTTGAAATGAAGAGTAGAATGGTACAAATGCAAGAGTAATTGAAGGAGTTACTGCTCTTAATGCATCAACTCAGTTTACCATCACAAGGAGCAATAAGAATGGCAAGAAGTGAAGATATAGATATAATTCGAATTATTTCAACATCTACACCCAATCATGTCTTTTTTCTTACATTGGAACATTCTTTCGATACTAGAGAACTAAGAGTTGCCTTGCTTGAGAAGTTTGATGGTACAAGATCTAAGTTTTGAAGATTTATCAATCAAGTACAACTTGTGATTGAACTTCAATCCCAGAGCTATCCAATTCCAGGATCACAAGTTAGATTCATTGGTACATTTCTTTCAAGTTCAGAATTATTGTGATTTTCATCTTTTCTTAAACAATGAGATCGAAAATTGGATAATTTGGAGGTTTTTTTAGTGGAATTTCAATCCATGTATAGAAAACATGATGTAATTCGTGTTGCAACTAATAAGATTCATATTTTATGACAAGACAATTAATTCATAATATTATATACTTTATAATTTTAACAAGTTGTAACTGATATCAAGTGGGATGATGATGCATTTATTAGTTGATTTCTTTATGGATTATAATATGAGGTAAAGAAATAGATGCTCAACTTAACCGATCCTCAAACATTGATTCAAGCAATTGACTTTCCTATGAAGTGTGACAATTGACTTTTTGAATTTTAATCTAAGAATTGGACAAGTTGGCCTTAATGTTACTATAATTAATTGGCAACACCAACGCCTCTTCAACACATACATTCAAAAGTAGATGATATGTAAATTGATGAGGTATATTTTAAATTTCTTATTGAGCAAGAAAAGATTCATCGCCATCAAGAAGGATTGTGCTTATATTGTGGAGAACCTAAGCTTACTACTCAACATTATCCAAACAAGTAATGCAATTATAAAATGAGGAGTAGAAATGTCAAAATAGACAATATATTGAAAAATTAGTTTGTCAAGCTATAATAGAGACTGTTTGGCTTAAACCTTGTACAATATCTAATGAAAGTCTTATTCTCTCTTTAAAATCCTCTCTTTGTTTTACATTAAATATTATTTTAGGACCTATACATTACAAAGTCTATGCCTTATTAGATTCAAGAACCTCAACGTGTTTCTTAGATAAAGAATTTACTAAAAGACTTAACATATCTTTAGTAAGGAAAATTAAACTTGTTCACATAAAAATCATAAATGGTTTTTTGTTGTCTTCCAGAGATGTACTCACAAAATCCTTTCCATAGAAGTAATAATTAATTATCATAATAGCTTTATAATATTTAATATTATTAGATCTCTCTCTAATCCAATCATTTTAGGTTTATCATGGTTAAAAAAATACAACTCTCGAATAAAGTAGATTTCTCGTAATCTTGAATTTTTTAAAAGTATAACTAAGAGTGTAGTTAATCAAATAAAAAATCACAAGTCTAATACAATTAAATCTATATTTGTAGATGCAAAAGCTTTCTTATATGCTATAAAAAAAAGATCACCTTATGTCATTTATGCCACATATGTTATAAATGGTGCAAAGACTTCAAGTGGTATTCTAAGTCAATATTAGGATTTTCAAGATATATTTGAAAAAAAGAATGTGGATACTCTTCCAAAACATCGTCTCTATAACTGTTTAATTGACCTTTAAGTAGGAGCATAATCGCTATTTGGACTAATCTACAATTTATCACAAAATGAGTTCGCCGAATTCAAGGAATATATTGAAGAAAATCTAGCCAAGAATTTCATACGCCATTCCAAATCTCCAGCAAGAGCCTCAATTCTATTTGTGAAGAAAAAAGATGGATCATTGCGGACGTGAATTAATTATCAAAGATTCAATAAGATCACCATCAAGAACAGGTATCTACTACTTTTAATATTTAGACTTCTTGATTAGTTGAATCAAGCTAAGATCTATACAAAAATAGATCTACAAGGAGCATATAATCTAATAGACATCAAAGTATGAGATTAATAGAAGACTACATTTTAAACCAGGTATGAACATTTTGAATATAATGTCATGCCTTTTAGACTTATAAATGCATCAATAGCTTTTCAACATCTTATGGATGATGTTTTTTGAGAGTTTTTGGACAATTTTATTGTTTGTTATCTAGACGACATCTTGATCTATTCTAAGAATACAAAAGAACATGAACTTCATGTTCATCGTGTATTACAAAAATTAAGAAATGAGAGACTCTATGCCAAGATAAAAAAGTATGTATTCCACACTACTTAAGTTGATTTCTTAGATTATATCATTTTAAATGATGGATTTATGATGGATCCTAAAAAAGTTCAAACTATTATGAATTTGAAGATCCCAAAAACGGTCCGAGATGTCCAATGTTTTTTAGAATTTGTCAATTACTATTGGATCTTCATCAAGGATTTCTCTCAAATCATAGCTCCACTTACACATTTGATTTGTAAAGACAAACTTCCATAGAATCAAGAAGCGGAAGCAACATTTGAAGCTTTAAAGACAATCTTTGTTTCTATACCAATCTTGCATTCTTTAAAGAAACATATACATCAAACTTTGCTTTGAGTGATGTATTATTACAAATGGAAATAGATGATAAACTTCATCGAATAGCTTTTTATTCCAAAAAACTTTCAACTACCAAGATTAACTATGAGATCCAAGATAAAGAACTTCTTACAATTATGGATTCTTTCCAAGCATGGTGTCATTATTTAGAAGGCATTTCTAATCTAGTTACTATGTATATAGATCACAAGAACCTCAAGTATTTCATGTCAGCTCATGTTTTGAATTGTCACAAGGCTCGTTGGAGCATGTCTTTATCAAGATTTGAATTCAATATTATTTATCGGCCAAAAAAATAATAAGGTTTGCTTGATGCTCTTTTTAGACATTCTTATCTTACTTCTAAAGAAAGAGATGCAACTTTTGATCAACAAAAGATAATTTTATTAAAGCCAAAATAATTTCATCTTTGAATAGTGAAATCAATATTGATTATTGATTCAGCTTTTTTCAAACAAATTCAATCAAGTATGTCCTTTGATCTTCTTCTTTATGATACCAAGAATACTTCTTCTAAGTCTTGTGATATTTTTAAGTTTGAATTCAAGAAAAACCTATTTTATTTCAAAAGATGCCTATAAATGCCAAAATAAGAAGCACATTTATGTGTTCTTTAAGCACGTCACGACTTTCTAGTAACAAGATATTTTGGATACAATAAGACTCTGGAGCTAATATCTAGGGATTTTTGGTGGTCGCAAATGTGGAAGACTATAAAAGACTTTGTTCAATTGTATGATATTTGTTCAAGATCAAAAACTCCTCGGTATCGACTTTATGGACTTCTTCAATCATTATCTATTCTAGAACAACCATGGTCTTCTATTTCTATGGATTTTATTATGAATCTTCTAATCTCAAGATCGTATGGTTTTATATTTGTTATAATAGCTTATTTTATCAAAATGGCATATTTTGTACCATACACAAAATATATCACATATGAAAAAATTGCTAAGCTTTTTTTTGACAATATCTATCGATATCATGGATTGCCAAAAGATATTATATCGGATAAGGGGATTCAATTTATATTAAGATTTTGGAGAACTCTTTTTAAGATTTTAAAGGTGGACATAAAAATTTCTTTAATCTTTCATCTTCAAACTGATGAATAGACAAAGTGCGTAAATCAAGTTTTGGAGCAATACTTAAGATATACCATCAATTATTAATAAGAAAATTATAAAACCCTCTTGCCATTGGCAGAGTTTGCTTATAATAATACAATGAATTTTTCTATATAATAAATATTTTTTTTTATTAATTATGGTTACCATCCATAACTTGATACTTTTAACTTTTCAAAAGTTGATAATCATACGGTAGAAGGTTTGGCAAATCATTTGTCAAAGCTACATTCAACAATAAAGGTGCAATTAAATGAAGTTCAAAAATTACAAAAGATTAATGTTGATGCCTATCAAAAAGAACAACCACAATTCAATGTAGATGACAAGATATCGTTGCTTTATAGTAATATCAAGATTACTTGTTCTTGTGATAAGTTGGACTACCACAGGCTTTGAACTTTTCTTATTTATAGATAAATCAATTCAATTGCTTATCGATAACATCTACAAGAGGCAATAAAGATCCATCGTGTCTTCTACATGTTTTTTCTTGAATCATACAAGACTATGAATATACCAAGAAGAAAAAAAGCTTCACCTCCTGCTATAGAAGTAGACAATAATGAAGAGTTTGAAGTGGAAGAAGTTCTAGACTTAAGGCGGTGCTGAAATAAATTAGAATATCTTATCTATTGGCATAGATATGATATTAGTGAATACACATAGGAGCTAGTAAAGAATCTTGCAAACATAGCAAAGGTAGTGGAGGCTTTTCATCAATGACATCCATCTAAACTAAGATGAAGAACAGTATATCTTTGCTATAAAAGAAACAATTGTTTAGAAAAAATTGTATTCTATCTTCTATCTTTCATTGTGGCTTTTGTGTATTTGTAATGTTAAAAAGATGAAGAACCAACAACGAGCAGATTCAACTCAAAAGCTTTCATTTACAGACTTACTAGATGAGACATTATAATTGTTACAACTTTTAAGACGACAAAATTGAGATGAAGATCCTCAACAACTATCCTTCCTCAAATAGATGGTGAGATAGATTGTGTTTGATTTCATGACTTTGGAAGAGACTTTTGATGTTTGGTGATTTTATTATAGGTAAAAACAACTCCTCATGGTGCTCCAAATGTTTTGTTTGAAAGAAGTTATGAAGGCCTCAACAATGATCAAATTATAGGGTGGTCTTTTCGCCTTACTATGAGACACTATTAATGGTTGAAAGGGCCTATCAACTATCTTCAAAGAGAACAAAGATCAGAGTATGTGGCAAATATAATTTGTCACATTTTGGATTTCCTCAACATATGAAGACTGCTCCACATGGAACTCGTCCTTAGAAGGGGGGATAATGTCATGGACATACACATAATAAAAATAAATAAAAGTAAGTTAATTCCATAATATCTTCTACAAAAGCTTCCTAGAAGCTTTATAAATGCTACTTTGACTTTATAGGTGTCTATAATTGACTTTTTAGGTTAGAAACATGGTCAACAAATTGGCCATGTGCCACATATGTTAATAGCTTAAAGAACAAGCTAACTATGTGGCCTACATGTAAAAAACTTATCTTGTAATCTAAGGCATGTATCTTGTAAAGTCAACACATATTAGAGGTTGTATAGAACATTGTCCCATAGCTCCTAGTTACATAGTACATATAGAGGCAAGAGTAAAGCCCTCTTCACTTTTGTCAACTCTTTTCTTGTTTCTACTCTAGATTTAAGAGTCTCTAATTTCTTTGTCTTTTGGTAATAACCATTCTAATTTCTTTTTAATATACATACTACTTCATTGCTATTTTTTCACTTTTCTTTTAATACTAATTTTCCAAATTTATGCATCTTCTTCTAGTTCATATCCTTGACACATGATACATACAAGTATTTAAAATCAAATGAAACATGATATAAATAAATGGATCACATGAATTTTTGAAAGATTATATTACATGATCTAATGAGACTTATTACATCATTTCTAAATATTTGTTTTGTAAAATGAATTTGTAAATTCTATATATAAACGTCACTAAGAATCTTTGATATTGTAATTGCTACAGATAGACCAATTCAAATGTTTCTTTTTACCATGAAAAAACCCAAATTTATGTCAAAGTATACAAATTCAAAAGTGTGTGCAAAGTACTTAAATACTAACAAAACTAAAAACATGTGCAATGTTGAACATATTAAAACAATACAGATTACATGGAGGATACTGACTAGACACCACACAATTTAGAGTTCGACAGAGTGAGGTTAGCAATGTATAAAAAATATATATAATCCTGTCTTGTCCCTAGTACAACTACTACTACTATTACTGCTACAAGAAATGTGCATAATCCTTCTCAGAAAGGAATATGTTTTGCAGGCTGGGTTTGTTTATGAGAGCCATGTGATCCCGACACATCCCAACGGTGTGAAGAAGAAGGGTGCTGGAACCATCGCCATAGCCCCTCCCTCGCCCTTCTTGGCATCACCTTGCTGCACTTCGTCTTGGCGCCACGGCGCTGGCATCGCTGTTTCTTCGCATTCCACTGGTTACAGTGGTGGAGAGTATTCAAGGATCTCAAAAAGACTTTGTCTTGCCGCGTTATTATCGAGTTCATGAATATGCGTTTTTGGGTCAGCAGTTGAGAGTTCCATGAGGCTGAGTTTGTGAGTATGTGGCCTTTGTGAGCGGGACTGGAAGCTTTGGGTCGGTTTCTGTTTAGCGTTACGCGCTCTGGGTGGATTTCGCAATAGGGTGGAAGGGCGTTGTTGGTCCTAGAGGAAGGTGGTCGGTAAGAACAGTGCGCATTTCGCAGGAGGGATCGGTAGGTGTCAATGGTGTCTGTGAGAACTGCAGCAGCTCCGAGAGTGTGGAGGGTTTTACTGATGGGAGCTTGTGGGGCATTGTTGACTGGCGTTGTGGTCACTGATATTCTATGGAATATGTCATTGGCGTCAATGTTTTATAGCACCCACGTTTCTGACGCCCAATCGCTCTCTTTGCCCCCCATGGCAGTGACGACCTCTCTTGTAAGGAAACACCCCACCTTATGAATTTTGGAACAGCTTGGTTCTTGCAGCATCGTTTTAGCTTTAGAAGTGGCTATGGTGTCCATTGTTAATTTACAGATTATGGATCTGTAGAACAGTCCAATTTGAGGTTGCGTGTAACTTGTGCATGTATGTGAACGTCGTGCGACCGTACCGATAAGGTGGTTTTCAGAATGAGCTTGGAAATGAAGATGACGAGAAAGTTCGTCTTCCGTTAGCTTGGGAGGAAGCGGCTGAAGCACCCGTGGCACGCTTGGACGGCGCAGCAGTGCAGATTGCACATCATCTCTACGTGTTTGCAGGCTATGCCACCATTGATGAGGTTGTCCTTCGGCTCTAACCTTAGTAAGTTCATCAGCACGCACACCGTAATTATCTCCATAGTTAACATTCTAACAGTAATGTCCCGTAATATACATACTCTCACAAATTGCTTAGAAGAATATAAAGTGAGCTTCACAGAGACATATTCTGTTGCGATTTCTGAAGATGATTTATACGAGGAATGATTGAAATAGTCAACTTCCTCGAGACGTGATGCACAGCGGTAGCTGAAAGCACTTACTACGAAAATGTGGGCAGGTTCATACGCACGTAGATGTGTATAATTTGAAGAGCAATACTTGGGAGACGAGTTTTGCTATTCCAGGAGCGATGGCTCACTCTCACGTGGGCATGGCAACTGATCAGCGCTTCATCTACATTGTGAGCGGGCAGTTTGGATCACAATGTAGCAATCCAACTGCACGGAACTTTGTGCTGGACACTCAAACAAGGGCTTGGACCCAGTTTCTTCCCCTTCCAGACCCCAGGTACCCTCTAAGGAAGGGCTGATTGTGAATGAAATTGAAAGTGTCATTCACCAGCTCTTGAATACTCGACTTGAATCTCTTTGTCCCATCTACCAATTTGCTCATTCAGATCAACTTCCCCAAGTGCTTTCACATTTTGGGTTGTGGGTTCGTTGTGGAATGTCGATTAGATATGCCCCAGCAACACAGCTGTGGAATGGAAGATTGCATGTTCTGGGAGGAAGCAAAGAGGACCGTCAACAACCTGCCAGTGAACATTGGAGCATTGCTGTACGTGATGGCAAGGCCTTGGAAGCTGAATGGAGAGAAGAGGTTCCTATTCCACGGGGTGGCCCACACAGGTGACTGTCTTCTGTCAATTTTCTTCGTAAGTCATTCACTCTTTCGAGAACAATATCAGTTTGCGGGTTTACCTTCCGTTTATTTGCAGATCACATTGCCTATTTGATCTGCAAATTCTGGTGTCCATTTACAAAATGCTATAGTTGCTAAAACCATGCATTACTTCTCCTCCCTGCTCAATAATACATTGATGCTGTCCTGCATGTTTTCACTCTCAATCTCATTTTACTTAATTAACAATTCGTAATTGTGCAAATCTCAGGTTGACAGAACTGGGATGTTTCAAACATCTTCATGAACCTAGGTGATAAGATTTCCTTGCAAGCTTAGACCAGTAGGGGGGGAATTCTACTGTCATTTCTCAATCAACCTGGTTCATCATCCTTCGGATGAGCATAACTTTGCAGGGCATGTGTGGTGGTAGAAAATGACCTTTACGTCATAGGTGGCCAGGAGGGCGACTTCAAAGCAAAACCTGCCTCTCCAAATTTCAAGTGTTCACGACAGAAGGAGGTATAGTGGAGAATCTGGCACAGCTCAACCCCGTACTGCAACACATCTCCAGGCTTCAAACAGTAAATGATATGTTGTTGCCGTGTTAAATGCGAGCCATCAGTCGGTGTCCATTTTGTCAGAATTATTGACAAGCTGTACAACAGGTGGTTTATGGAGATGTGTACATGTTGGAAAAGGATGCAACCAGATGGACAAAACTGATGCCAGTGCCCAAGCCAATTTCGCACATTGAGTTTGCATGGGTCACGTTCAATCAATCCATTGTTATCATCGGTGGGTCCACCATGAACAATCCTGCAACCAAGAAGATGGTGTTACTTGGAGACATTTTCCAATTCAACACACAAAAGAAAGTACGTGCAAATATGCTTCGACGTCTCTTCTTTTTTTTCTTTTTTTCTTTTCTTTTGAGTTTTCTCGTGTAGCTTTGATGGATTCTTCTGTTCTTAAATGAACTGAATTCTGGTGCTGTTTTGGTTACAGGTATGGATAAGTTTGGGGCAGATGCCTTACAAAGGTAAAACAGTTTTGGCTGCTTATTGGGAAGGATGGCTTTATTTTACTTCAGGACAACGAGACAAGGGGCAATCGGATCCAGAGCCCAAGAGAATCATGGCAAAAACATGGAAAACTAAGTTGGAAATTTAAGGATTACAAATCATTATTATGATTATTATTAATAATAATATTCTTGGTTTCTGAACATCGCAACACAATTTCGAAAGTGAAATTACAAAGCTTACGATAGCATTTAATGTTGTATTAAAACTGTTTTTTAAGCTTGAACTTTAGATCAATAATTTTGCAAGTATGCCAAAAGTGTCAAAAAGTGAAAATTATTCCAAATAAAGAGTTTAAAATTTACTTGAATCATAGTGTTATGATATATATATATATATAAGTTTTTTCAATAATTTGCATCAATGATGGTTTATTTCTTAAAATGCTTTGATGGTTTGGATTTTTCTGTCTAAAAAGAATATTCATAGGATCCAAAAATATATTATCTTGAAAGCATGAGATTATGCATTGTTTCAAGTTTCAACTATTGGAAATTTTAAAAATAACAACATATAAGTGAAGATGACATAAGAAGAAATAATGTTAAAAAAAAAATATATATATATATATATATATATAAATCATAACAATATAGTGTTGGAATTAGAAAATTTTGAATAATTCAAGCAGTAAATGAAAAAATAACTTATCTGAAGTATGATCACAAATTTCAAGATTATATGGTTTGTCAAAATATTTTTTTTAAAAAAATATGTATGATATTATCTATATATATATTCTTATTGTATAAAATAATAAATTCAATCAAAATGAATTATATCAATTTATCATATATATATATATATATATATATATATATATCAAACTAATAAATTTCCTATTGCCAATCAATTTAAAATATGATGTTGAAGTAAAAGTGAAAGTAGAATAAATTACCTTGTGGAAGATATTATCTAAGGTAAGTTACTAATGGTCAAAGGGTTGACTCTTAATATATAGAAAGAGCATCCTATGGATATAAGATGAGGTCAAGGACCAAGAGTCAAAGTCTAAAGGATAAAGTATGAACTAGGGAATATTCATAAATAATGTAAGAGTAATTAGTGTTTGGCATAGGAGACCTTTGTGGTTAGTAAGATGCCAAAGGATCCAAAGACCATAGGATACCCTCAAGGTACGTTAGATATTAAAGGATTCTGGGACCAAGGATCATGTGTGTAAAAGTCAATGAGAGGAAGTTATCTTGTAGGGCAACAACTACAACCTATAAGTATTGAGTGTTAGAAGTGAGAGATATCTTACTCTATACTCTCTTTGTATATAACCTTGTTGGTGCTATGTGTTGTGACTTCAAAGTTCTATTTCTTCTATAGGTTATGGGCCCACTCACCTTTAGTTGTGAGTTTTGAAGTTCTTTGAAGTTGTTTTATTGTTATGAAGAGTAGATCTTATGGTTGTTGCTGATGTTAGAGTTTGGTATCTTCTAAATCTCTTTTTGCATCTAGTTCTTGATGTAGTTATGCACTTACTTGTTATTAAGTATACTTATGGTCTTGGAGATTATTATACACTTTAGAATGTTGTTTTAGAACAATAGTGGTGTATTTTTTTGCTGACCTACCTCATTATTACACTAACATTGAATTTTCATGTGCTTAAGTTCCTAATAGATCTTCTTATAATCATAAGAGGTGTTATGAGACATTAGAGGTGATAAAAGAGTAGCAAAGCTTGTATGAGAGTTTTTTGATAGTGTGTAAGACTTATGAGAAGTCTTATAAGTGAAGTTGAGAGTGATCAAAGAGTGAAATCACTAGTTTACTCACAAAGAGGGCATTTTGGAATTCTAAGGCAGCAATACCTTCTTGTTGATTTTGAAAGTTCTACCTTCTCTTTTCTTGATTTTCTTTAATACATCCCTTCTTTAGACATGGCTTCAAGTGAAGGTGAGGGTTTGAGAGTGATTGAGAAGTTTAGAGGTGACAACTTCTACCATTGGAAGAAGAAAATTGAGCTTTTGCTGACTTCATTGGACCTTTGGGACATTATTCATGAAAGTGAAGAGCCTCCTAGTGATGATGCTGATGTCAAGGTGAAGAAAGAGTACAAACGACGTGAAAGAAAGTCTTTTGGCATGATTGCAATAAATCTTGATGATGCCAACTTTTCACATGTAATTGCTTGCAATGGACTAGCAGAAGCATGGAAGACTCTTTGCAACATCTATGAAAGTAGAAACCTTCCTAATATTCTATGGACAAGGAGAAAGTTCTTAATGGTAAAGATGGAAGAAGGAGATGATCTAATGGCTCATGTCAATAAGATAAAAGTACTTGCAAACCAACTAGTAGTTGTTGATACGCCAATCGATAATAGAGAAATTGTGTTGACATTGCTCATGAGACTTCCCAAGTCCTATAGCTACCTCATTATGGCATTGGAGTCCATCAACATGAAGGAGCTTACCATGAATTATGTCACATCAAGACTTGCACATGAAGTAACGAAGAGGAAAGAAAAGAAGCTTTAAAGTGATGATTCAGCTCTATTCTCAAGACAAGGCAAAGGTAGCTTTCCACACCAACATGATAATTCAAAAAGTAACATAAAGAATTACTATATTTGTAGAAAATCAGGTCATTTTGCTAGAAATTGCTACAAGGCCAAGAGATGAGATAAGGAAAATACAAATAATGCTAGCGATAGTTTTGATGGAGATGATTATGCTTTCATGGCAAGTGAAGGAGCCTCCATGGTTGCCATGTCTAAGTGGATTATAGATTCGGATGCCACTAAGTACATGACACCATACAAGTGTTCATTTGACACTTATGAAGCAATTCCAGCAACAAAAGTATGGTTGGAAGATAATAGTATGGTGTAAGTCATTGGAATTGGCTCCATTGTGGTGGAGATTGTGGTGAAGGACCAAATCAAGAGGATCAGATTGAAAGAAGTCTTACATGTGCCAAAAATGAAGAAGAACCTTCTTTTAGTGAGCAAACTTTTATCACATGGTTGTAAAGTTTAATTTGACATGGATGGATGTATTGTAAAGACATTGAGTGGACAACATGTTGCCAAAGGCCTTAGAGATGGCAACCTCTACTTCATCAATTGTAAGAAGGTGAATGGAGTTGAAGTGGCAGCATATGCTGATTTTCTACAAAATCATGACAAGTTTGATATTTGGCATCAACGACTTGGTCATTTGAATGCCAAAAGTATGAAGGAGCTCCAATCTATAGTAAGTGGCTTGGACCTTGGTCAATTCAGCCACAATGCTATGATACTTGCTTGTGAAGGTTGTATCCAAGGCAAACAACAAAAGGCTTCATTTCTAAGTAGAATTGCAACACATGCAAGCAAATTATTGGAGATGGTTCATTCTGATGTTTGTAGACCAATGAAGACACCATCAATTAGAGGAGCAAGGTACTTTATGACATTTATTGATGATTTCTCAAAAAAGGTGTGAATATACATCATTAAAGCCAAGAGTGAGTGTTTCTCAAGGTTTAAAGAATGGATGTCCAACAAGTGCACTGACATCAATGACTCTCCAAGAAGCTTGGAGTGGCAAGAAATCTTATGTTTCATACATGAGGATCTTTGGATGCATTGCTTATGCAAAGGTATCAGATTCCATGAGGTCTAAACTTGATGCAAAGAGTAAAAAATGTGTATTTGTTAGATATTGTAAAGGTACCAAAGCATATAGGCTTATGTATTTAGAAACCAAGAAAATCATTAAAAGTCATGATGTAGAGTTTTTGGAGTGCAAGAATACTTATGAGCACTTGGAGATGTGTCCAAGTGGGAGTAATGGTGTGTTTGTAGACACATCTTTAAATCTACCAATGAAAGAAGAAGAAGAAGATGATGATGATACTGAAGATGGTGGAATTTCAAATCAAGATGAAGAATCAATGAAGGTAGATCATGAGGTGCCTACTATTGCTAAAACTAGCAATGAAGACAATCAAGATGTTGAAGATGATGATGGTGATGATGAGTACCAATCTTTGAGTGTGAAGAAACAAGTTTTAAGAGAAAAGAAGATTGCAAGAGCTATTGGAGTGGATGAAGGTGAATCTTCATCAAGTGAAAGGAGATATCCTTTAAGACATCGAAAACAATTTGGTGCATGGTGGAAGAATCACACCTTTCTTCAAGTAAGTGAAAAACATGTCAATGTTGCACTTCTTGCTGATCCATTGAGTTTGTATGATACAATGAAGTCCACGGATGCTATGAAGTGGGAGAATGCTATGAAAGAAGAGTACAAATCACTCATGGACAATGGAACATGGGAATTGACTCAACTTCCACCAAATCGATCTTCAATTGGTTGTAAGTAGGTGTTTAGAACCAAAAGGGATACAATGGGCAATGTTGTGAAATACAAAGCTAGGTTGGTTGCCAAAGGATATCCAGAAGTTGTTGGAGTTGATTTCAATAAGACATTTGCTCAAGTGGCCAAATTCACCACCATTAGAACTATTGTCGCAATTGGGACAACAATGGACTTGGAGATGCATCAAATAGATGTGAAGACGGCTTTCTTGAATGAAACGTTGGAAAAAGACATCTACATGGATCAACTTCAAGGATTTGTTGAAGATGGCAAATAAGACCTTGTTTGTAAGTTGAAGAAATCCTTGTATGGGCTGAAGCAATCTCTAAGGACTGTTGAGGTAAAAGATAAAGATGTTGAGATAAATAGGTAATAGTAAAAGTAGAATAAGTTATCTTGTAGAAAATATTCTCTTAGGTAAGTTGCTAATGGTCAAAGGCAACTAAGGACTAAGTGGCGGCTAGGGTCTCGACATGCGGCTAGGGTCTCGACATGCGGCTAGGTTTAATGTCTCGACAGATGGTTAGGTTTAGAGTCTCGAGAGGCGGTTAAGTTTAGGATCTCGAGTGGCGGCTAGTTATAGATGAATGTGGATGAAGTCTATATATATTGGATGTGAACTCTGATTATAAATAACGGGTGTTGGAAGTAAGAGTCATGTCATTCCACACTTCTCTTATGTGCAACCTTGCTGATTTCTACTTACTTGTGTTATGCTTATAGTATTTCTTTAATAGGTTATGGGCCCACTCACTCTCTGTTGTGCTATTCAAGTAAGTTGAAGTCATTTTCTCTTTGTTGCTTTTGTGTGGATTAGATCTTATGGTATTTGTTGATGTTAGATTTGTTGGTATAAGGAGGCTATTGGTATTAAACTTATACATCTCTAACATTGCTTTGTAGGTTCTTATCTCCTTGCTTTGTGAGGTTAAGACTTTGTAGAAAGACTTTGATAGTGTCTTTTGAGTTGGTGAAGTTTCTTCATTATCCT